AAGTTGTAAGCCGCCCTGAGTCCCCTCAGGGAAAAGAGCGGCCTATAAATAAACTTACAAATTACAAATTACAGTAGAACATTGGGCACCAACGCTTCTGACCATAACCAAATAGGGTTCCGACCAAAAAATTCACAAAATTTTTGAATCTGGTCACGAACACATACTCAGGGGGCGATCAAACATGGCTGCAGCCGATTTCCCCTTCCATACCATTTTTTTTTTTTGGTAAATTTTGGTTAGGTTCGGGTCACTACCAAATCGGGTTGCAACCAAAGTTATGGAACGAATTATGATTGTGACCAGAGGTTCTACCCAGTAGTGGGATTCACATTTTTTTATTAGCGGTTCTGTGGATGTGGCATGGTTTGGTGGGTGTGGCTTGGTGGGCATGGCAGGGGAAGGATACTGTAAAATCTCAGTTTCCTCCTGATCAGCTGCGACTCGGGAGGCAGGGGCGGGGCCAGTCAGAGGCAGTATTTACCGATTCTCCGAACTACTCAAAATTCCCCCTACCAGTTCTCAGAACTGATCAGAACCTGCTGAATACCACCTCTGGTTCTACTGTATAGGGCTATTTTCTTAGCATGTTGGCCATATAACACTGGCTCTGTAGGCACACATTAATTTCTGTTAAGCTTCCTGGTACTTTACAGAGTGCTGCTTTGATATATAAAACCCAAAATGGCTTAAAAACCAGATATTTGCATGACTGCCACCTTCAGGTAGAATCAAGCTATCTCGTGCTTTCATCCTCAGACAGATATTGAGAGTCATGCCCATCAAGTTGGGAATTTATGTCCATACATTTTAAAGTAGCTAAAGTTGGAAAATGCTGATCTAGGAGTGGATTGTCAGTAAAAAAAAAAAATGTAAATAAATATATCATAAATGTGTCCCTTACTTGGTACTGTGAATGGATTTGAAATCCTGTTGTAGTCCCCCGGAGTACTTAATTTGGGCAAATGATAGACAGTTACTTGGTACTTTTGGCCTGGCTGTACCTCAAAACGATCGAAAGAGAAATTCCACTGAAACAATATAAGGAGAAATGTTTCTTGAAATGTGCAGTGAGTCAATGCAGTGGCTTATAACACCGACCTTGTATGAAATTCTCTTTTCTTTTCTAAGATCTATACGATCACTTAGGCAGAGCAATTCATTTTGTTCAGATCTAGTTATCTGGCTTTGAATGATCCCGCTTGCGCTAATGGAGCTTTGAGTGCGAACGCCTGCCACTCAGGCAAGTGGAGCTGCGTGCCCATACACACTCACCTGCCCACTTGCACAGCCTGGTTGCAAATGGGCTACGCCCCAGGAGTGGGCTGCGACCCTGGAGTTGGGGACACCTGGTCTAGGAAGTAAATTCGGACCCCCCCTCTCTCCCATATTTCTGATAAAACACAATAGACAGTGACAAAACTGTGGTGTTAAACAAGGGATTAAAAGATTTATAGGCTGACAACAGGAGCCAGGGGAGAGAAAAGCATTCTGGGATGATCAATTATATTTGCTTCCCATGAATGTGGTGACCTTTTATTCCAGGACATCCAGAAATATTCAGTCAATGCTGTTAAAAGAAAAGTTACAGCACCGTGTTCTAATACCTCCCTAACTTGGGGAATGCAACATAGTTGGTGTTTTTACATAGAGCAGAAATGGAAGCAACTGTTTCCTTGCTTATAGCCTGGCCTTTTCTTGTCCCTTCTCCTGGAATAGGTCATTTTTTTTCTGCACTACAGCATAAATCATATAGTTATTCCAACACTAGCATTTCACACACAGTAGAGGCCATACCAAATCATCTATGCTTGCTGTATGTAACGGACCATGTTCTTAATTACAAAGTTTTTCTTAAGCACCAGGTTATTCTTTGGCTAGCAAATGTCAGACTTTCTTTAGCCAATATACTGTTAGTTAGTTTACTAAATGTGCCAGCCTGCCCAACTCCATTACGATTCTATTGGATTCTAAGAAGGCAAAGTATAAATTTGTAAAACTTTCACGATCGCTTACCCGGCCTCCATTATCTGGACGGACTTGAAACGTCAAGTTATTTTGAAAGTCAAATTGAGCGCAAATCTGGCGGTTATTGCTTAATTGTAGTACAGACAATTCCGCTCCTTTGAGATATATGATGCTTGCTATTGTTGGAAGAAAAGGAGAGACATAAAAACATTGCTAAAGAGATCTCTCTTTGTATCCTCTGATGATGCTGGAAGCTAAACCATAACAAGATTCATAATTTAGAAGTCACGTGCAGGAGGTCAGGGCCAACTTTTAAAAAAGTATTCCTCTTCCCCAACTCCCCAATTGTGCAAAATTAAGTTATAATGTTTAGTCTAGGAAATGGAGAATCCTGGGTTAGAAAGACCAGTGATAACAGTCAGTATAAAGAAAACAAAGACTTGTTGAAACATTTGTATTTTATTCTATGAAAAGAACACAATACATATTGACATGTTATACTGGCATTTTAATATTCATCCCCAAATTATACTAAATTGTTTACATTTTTATTCTGTACTGTTGTTATCTGAAAGGAAAATCAACCCCTCCCCAATAATTTACCTTTAAAATTGGAAGGTACCATGGATTCACCACAAACAGTAATATCATGTTTCCCTGAAAATAAGACCAGGTCCTATATTTCTTTTGGGACCAAAATACTGTCTTTTGGCTTGTCCTCGGCCATGCTGGGGCAGGCGCCCATGCGGGGTGTTGGGATCACCTGCCTCCCGCCTCCCACCCCCCAGTTCCTCTGCTTCTGCCTGCGCCTCTTGAGCTGGCCACATCCATCCCCCCAGGCTTATTTTGGGGGCAGGGCTTATATTAGGCCTAGCCCCCCCCAAAATCAGGCTAGGGCTTATTTTTGGGGACACACGCTACAGGCAGATTAATTTTTTTATCTGTTTTATATCTTAAAATCAGGGTTATTTTCCTGTAACTATTGAATAATTTTTTAAAAACATTACCAGTTCTTATTATTACTAAACTCCCAAACCCGCCTCTAAAACATGATGGAGATAGTTTTGGCTACTATAACTTGTCTAATTAGACAACTGTCTAATGCTACATTTTTTACCTGCTGTAAATAGTGCAGTTCTATATTGATTTCTTCCTCACTTACCATCAGTAGCCACTTTCCACTCTATCTTCAGCACAGGGACCAATTTCCCATCTTCAGCAAAAAATGTATCAATAAATATGTCAACAGAACTTGGGGCTGAAGGAGTCCATTTCCAAGGAAGGAGCCAGTTCTCATCCACACAGTTACCTACAAGTTTGATGGAAATGAACTCAGTCCCACTTTTGAAATAACAACTGATTTTCCTTTGGACTATAACATTCTAGCTGTGTTGCCTCCTCTCAAACTTCCAGTGCAGTGCAACCTATCAAAAACTACCTGCTGCATTACAACACTCTTTAGAAAAGCTAAGAAAAATAGAGTTAAAGGGTGAACCAAAATGAGCTCACACATTATTAATGTCCACGTTGAATAGTCAATACTTCACATTAGCTTCTATGTTTCTTAGAAAAATGTGTCTTCTAATATTGACTAAACTTCTAACCTACCACTAGATTTCCTTAAATTATCTCTAGATGTGCATTTCCTAGAATTTCTAGCCAGTTTTGATAACTCTGGAAGATTGAGAAAGCCTAGATTAAAAAATATGTATGATGAGATGTACGTTAAGAGATGTAGCTGGACACAAGCTATTTAGAGTAATAATTCCATAGTAGGGTATAGATATGGATAATTTAGAGAGTATTGTTACATTTCATTCCAGACGAAAAGATGCACTTTGGGTTAATTTTTGGAAAAACAAGCTTATTGTGTATTTCTTGATTTAGAGAAAGCATATGATAAACAGAATAGGATTAAGTTATGGAATATTTTATGTGAATATGGAGTTGGCTCCATGCAGTAAAAGTAATGTACGAGAAAAATAAAGCATACATGTAAATAAACAGAATGCCTAGTGAATGGTTAACATTAAGTAGGAAGACACATGTGAAATATTCCTGTTTTTATTTAATATATTTATAGAGGCATGTACAACAAATGCTTGTGGTGATATTAAGAGTTGGGGATGTGAATGTATATGTGTATTTTCATATGCAAATTATATAGCTCCTGAACTCATTTGAACCAAACATGAGAAATAGCTACCTCACACTAACATTCCTCCTACTGAAATATCAATCGATTATAAAATGTTGCACAGAACAGAGTTAGTATTACAGTTCTAAAATAAGCAAAATTAATTAAGGGCAAAACAAAAAAAGGGCACCTACTGTTTCGTGCAAGACAGCGTAAACCCTACAGGAGAGAACACAAACATGTTACTAAAAAAAGTATTAAGAATAATACAGATCATGAATGTTGCTTCACCTCAAAATAGTATTAACTTTTATCAGTAGTTTTTCTCACGCATATTTTCAACTCAACCCCCCCCCCCATTTAACAGATGCTAAGCTTAACAGACATTTATTTATTAGTCTACTAAACTGGGTATTTATTAAATGAATTTTCACCTTTAACATATTTAAAATGAATATATTTTTTCTTTGTCATACATGTGATGATAAATGTATTCTAATTTAATACGATAAACAAACATAACAAGCTATGTTGCTGAATCATTATATACAAGGAGAGTATTATCTTGTTTATATGCAAATAATCCTATAAAAATAGGCAGAATAGTTAACATAGATCAAAAAGATAAAATTGGTTGACATTTATTTTCCTGTTAATTCTATTTCTGTATGATTCAACTGTATATCAAAAGGTTGTTTTTTTCCCCAAACAGATTAGGTGGCATCTTCCCCTTTTAAATTCTAAGGGTTCAAATAAGTAGCAGAAAAGTAGTCAGAATGTCTTATTGTAGGAACAAAGAATGACAAACACAAGAAACCTAGGTACTTTTAAAAGGGATAGGCTTTTGATTGCTTAGTTGCAATCACCATTTTGATACTATTGATCCCCCCCCCCAATTATGGTTGCCCAAATGCCTAGGGTAATTTTATGCAAAATACTCAAATCTTTAGCTTTTCTATCCTTAGGAAATATTGAGAGTGGCTGAAATGACTATTTAGTCAATCTGTGCATAGTCCTCTGTTGTGGCTCAGCAGGAACCTTTGGAGCTGCTATCAGACTCTGACAGCGAGGAGCCCTGTGAGTCAGGCTTGGAGGAGGCGGAGGGCCCTGGACAGGGTTCTGACTGAGCAGGGCTCAGAGAGACTAGTTGGTCCCCAGGTAATGACTGAGCCTGGGATCAGTGAGAGAGGCTGAAACAGAAACCTCCTGTGAGTTATTTCAGGATGCATGCAGGAGAAGGGCTGCCTGATGTAAGGAGCAATTGAGGATGATAACGAGCAGTTGTGGCTCATTAGGCTCTCCTCCTGCGGATAAAAGACTGATGGTGTCACGCCCTGGTTGCAGAAGTCAACGTTCCATTCCGTTCCATTTCTGTTCTAGTCAAGCTCTCCATTTGTGTGCAACCATCGAGAAAAAGCACTTGNTGAGTCAACCCTGAGCCGGTGAGATTTGAACCGCTGAACTGCTGATCTAGCAGTAGCCTGCAGTGCTGCATTTAACCACTGCGCCACCTTGGAAATCAAATGGCATAGCATAAATCTGGAGTGGCTGATCACATACAAGCATGCAGCGACTTGACTACAGTTCTGCTGCTTCTTTCACAGGACTGCGAAGAAAAAGCAAGACATTGCAGCTTCTTCTATTCAATTATTCTTAAATGGTTTCTTCTTTTCCAATAAACAGCAACATACATTTCCTTGTTTGCTTGGAAGCAGTTCTTGTTTAAAGGTATATATATTGAGAAAGCAGATTTTTGCCTGGCACACCTTTCAAACCACATTAAAAAACAAAAATTCCCTTAAAAGAAAATGCAAAATGCAAAAACTGTCTCAATCCTGGAAATAAACAGGTGTCTAACTCTCCTAATTTGCTATTTATGAAGAATTCACATTTTGTAGTAAACCATGTGTTTTAAAAAGGCTCAAATTCCAAACATGCTAACTGTTGGGCTTTTGTTACTGGGAAGACAAGAGTTCTGATGGATTGTTAAGTAATGATAATGAGGAATTGCTAACCTAAAAATTAAATGCCTGGAGGAGAAAACAGAGTGGAACAAAACTGATTACCTTTGAAATTCTTTCCGTGGCCTTCTTGCACTCCTTTCCATCTTCCTGAACACTGATTACATGGATAATATAGGTGGCTGGTATCTCTGCGGGGTCAAAGCTCACCGACACAGAATGATCATCTAGACTTGTTCCATTAATTCTGGGTTCCCACAAACTCCCTAAATGCAGAAAACTCATCAATGGCATCAAATGGCACTGCTCACGGATGCACCCAAACACCTGAAAAAAGCATACCTATTCGCAGACACGGTTCGGTTGTTTTCATGATAGGATGTGTGCAATCTGCAATGGCAAAAAAATAAAATAAAATCAGAAAGATTGCATCTGTGTTCTGAAAGACAATACTGGCTAAACTGACAACTTCAATTTGCAAGCAGTTTGAAAAGAACTATGCTCAAATGTACGGAAGCCAATCAGCGGTGGGTTGCACATTTCGCTATCACTGGTTTGCCCTGCATGCACCCGCCCACTTCGCACACACGCACAAAGCAGGTGTGTGCGCACCTTCCTTGCATGTGCTTTGCTTGCGCATGCGCCTTCTGCACATGTGCCCGGTCTCAAAACGTGCCTAAATAGGGTGGCATAGACCTGGGGGCTTTTTCTATCCCTGCTTGGCACCCCGGATCCCAGTTACAGATATGCAGAGACAAAATGGCAGTGGTGACAATACCACTCTTGCCTCTACTCCATCCTTTCATAGGCTTCTCAGTTGAGTGGCTTTAAACCACTCTAAAAACTTTAAGGTGGCTTTAAACCACTTTAAACATGGAGGTGTTCTAAAAGAAATGGCAGGTTTCTTTTATGTGGTTCCACTTTGCTTAGAACTAGTTCTTTTTCCACTCCCCTACTTTTATTTTTTGAGCAGCGGCCTTTTCCTCACTGTATTTCCTTTAAGCACTACAAATTGCAACTTCAAATGTGCATCTTTCACACTAGGTAGGCTTTGCTTATCAGTAAATTCTTCTTCATATCCTGAAAGTGCAGGATATTCTAGTGTCAATTGGTGCAACTAAGGATTCTTCATTTACATCTCTTTCAATTCCATTTTTAAAATTCTGCCTCAGATAGCCTATATTACGCCCCCCCCTCCCAAAAGCAGATAGGTGCCAACCACCTAAATTTTAATCATGTGACCACAGGAATGCTGTAATGGCTGTAACTTGGTGATCTGGATGTAAGGACCATTATGTCAATGCTGGTGTAACTTTGAACAGTTGCTGAACTGAACTGGTCATTAACTGTATAGACATGAAGCCCCTGTAATGGTTACCACCTCCCAGATCAAGAACTGCAATGTACTGCAGTATACAGCCAATTACCTCCTCGCGACCTATCAGATCACACAGATTAGGCCTCCTCCGAGTTCCACCCGCCAGTCAGTTTCGACTGGCAACCACGCGGAGGAGAGCCTT